CACTTTTTATGAAATGTTCCTACATTTATTTTTTAATCCCCTTCTCCTCTTCAAGGAGCAAGGGGTGTGTGTATTGTATACATACACATATTTATATGTATAAAACTGAAAAAAAAATCATAGCTTTCAAGAGTAGTTCTTTGGAAAAAACTCAGAAGCTGAATACCAATGATTTCCATCTTTTCATATATAGTTTTGCCATTTCTTTCTACTTTAAATCATTTCAATCCAAAAATATTTTTGGATATTTATTATTTGTAATGCACTATCATAGAGAATACAAAAAGAAAGGAAGGAAAGAGGGAGAGAGAACAGAAAGAAGGAAAAAATATCACAGTCTCTGCTCTTATGATACTTATAATCTTACAGAAGATACAACTTAAACTCCCTAAACAAGAGAAAACATAAGACATTATTTATATACACCATCAAAGAAGAGTAAGTACGTAAGAGTATTGAAAAAAGGACTGGGCATGGTGACACACGTATGTAATTCCAGAGGCTTGGGAGGCTGAGGCAGGAGAATCACAAGTTCAAGGCCAGCCTCAGCAACTTAGTGAGACCCTGCCTTAAAATTAAAAAATAAAAGGGCTGGGGATGTTGCTCAGTGGTTAAGCACCCCTAGTTCAATCCCCGGTACCAAAAACAAGAATGTAGAAAAGAGGAATGGTGGGTCCTAATGGATAGGGCAATGCAAACTAGGAGATGGTTTTGCTGAGTGACACCTAGGTGTTTTTTGTTGTTGTTGTTTGGTGGTGTTGGGAGTTGACCGAGGACCTGGTGCATGCTGGGCAAGTACTCTGCTACAGGAGATTAGAGGATTTACCCAAAGATCTCACACATACCAATATGGATTGGTTTTAAAGACGAAAAAAGATCTTAGCAGAGGTAGATCAGAAGTTCTGGGTGGAGAATGAAGCACGAAAAAACAAAGGTATGAGATGGAAAAGTGCCTTGCATATCTAGGATAACGACTCCAAGTGTGATACAACTCTTTTATGTCTACATAAAGGGAAATAGCTGAAAAATGAAGCCAGAAAATGAGGCAAGTGCCAGATTATTAAAAACACTTGAATATCATTAAGGAGAAGGCAGTCATAAGAGTCCTTGAAAAACTTTTGAGCATAGGTGTGAAATATTTAGGGATATGATATCTCAAGTACTAACTTGCCAATTCTGTTCTCCCAAACACTTCTACTTTAATGTTACCTACATCTAGAAATCTGCCTTTACATCTTACATTCAATGGCAGTGGGAAATTTCTACTCCTCTACCCACTCTAGCATCAGATAAGTAGATTCCTTTAAAAACCCTGTGTATGTGTGTTTGTCTGGTTCAACAACCGTAAACCCTCTAGAGAAAAAATAGTATCTTGCGATTTTTTTTAAAGAAATTTAAAAAATTTGAGCTTTACCTTAGCCATCACAGTATATATTAAAAAATGTTGAGCAGTTATAAATAAAATACATGAGATACAACTTATAACATTATTTTGCTCTTTTGAGAGTTTAATCATTAGTGTTTTATTGTAACTCTAAGTACTTTCTGCTTCAGGTCTTTTAGGTATATTGCCAACTAGGATTTAAATTAAAATAAACATGGAGGGACTGGGGTTGTGGCTCAGTGTTAGAGCGCTTGCCTAGCATGTGTGAGGCAATAGGTTCGATCCCTGGCATCATATACAAATAAACAAATAAAATAAAGGTATTATGTTCATCTATATCTACAAAAATATTTTTTTAAAAAATGAAACCACAAAAACTTCCATATCTCTTCTCTCTCATTGGTATAAACCTTCTTATGCAATGTATAGGATGGTAGGGTGCCCATCTGGGATAGTCATAGCCTGATATGTACCTAGGCCATAAGAGCCACCTTCAGCTAGAGAAATCCTCCAGCCTACAACTATAAAAATTTGAGTTAAATACTACTAACTCCACCTCTAAATATCCACAAAACCTAGTTTCTCATCTTCCTTCTGACTGGAACCATGTTGTTTTGTCCTTCAAAAATTTCGTACCTGGGTTATTTCATCAGCATCTAGCTTATCTCCCTGCTTCTAGTCTTTATACTATGGTCAGAATTATCTGTGGAAAACACAAATCCTTTCACATCCCATTCAGCTTAAAAGTTTTCTGTACCTCCATAATAGCTACAGTACACAAATTCTGAATTTCTTACATAAAACTCCTTAACATTTTAAAACTTATCTTTTGCTATTCATTCATTCATCCAGTATTTACTATTTATTATGTGCCATAAGTATTCCAGATATGTGTGTGAGTGAACTAAATAACATGTACCAAAAACTAAAGCCAAAAAACAATCACCAAAAAATCCTGTTCTCTTTAACTGCAGCAGGGAGGGGCTGGCAATAAACACATGTAAACTATACAGTTTTACAGGAGATGATATGAAGAAAATACAGGTACAGAAGGAGGTAGGGTAGCCAAAGTAGGTCTTAGTAAAAAGGTGTATTTAAGAAGAAACTTGGAAAGTGAGGATCCATGCAGTCATTTGGAGAAAGGCTGCTCCGGGCAGAAAACAACAGCCATTGCAAAGGACCCAATTAAAACCATGTCTAGAATGCTCAAGGACGTTAGGAGATTAGAACACAGTGAAGGAGAAGGAGGGAAAAAGGGGAGGACAGAGAGAAAAAGTATAGGCAGTGGTAGGGTGACCATCCAGGCCCCTGCTGACCATTATTACAAAGACTTGGATTTTACACAGGAAGCACTGCAAATGATATGAGCAGAGGAATGGCATGATCTGACTGATTTTAAACAACTGATCCTCCTCTGTGTACTGCGCAGAGAATAGGCTATTGAGGGACAAAGATAGGAGTAGAAACTCTGGTGAAGGTGACTGTAGTAATCCATGATAAATAATGGAAGCACCTGTGGGTTGTAAGAAACTTCCAGACTCCAGAGTGTAATATTTTGAAAGTATAGTCAATGAGATTTTTCTGACACACTGAAAATGGGATAAGAGAGAAGTCAAGATGTGACCAAAGTTTTCTGACTGTGGAAATGAGAGGATAAACTTGGAATTATCTGAGATGAGAGACTGTGTGTGATCAGGTTTTGGTGGGGCAGATCTGGAGTTCAGTTACTTACATAGTTGAAATGCTTATTGGACATTCATCCAGGTTTTCATATACACGTTTAGCATTCAAGAGAGAAACCTGGGCTGAAGCTTCTGTTGTCTTTTACAAATGCTGCATTCCAGATTTACACAATGACACATAGATCCCTGAACTATTAGTCTTCATGTCATGTCTTTGTGTCTGCATGTTTTTTATTTTTATTTTCTTAATACCTTTATTTTGCTTATTCATTTTTATGTGGTGCTGAGGATCAAACCCAGTGCCTCACATGTGCAAGGCAAGTACTCTACTACTGTGCCACAACCGCAGCCCCTGCATGTTGTTTTACATTAAATATTCTTTACCCCTGTTTTTTCACGTGGTTAAAAAAAAAAATCTCAGCCTTCAAGACTGATGTCATCATCTATCATCTACTTCATGAAACTCAGATGGTCATCACCTCCTGAATCACCCTGCTTCCTTTCCTAAGTCACTTTAAGGAAGGACTAAAATATATAATGGTTGGACTTCTAGCACACTTAAAAGGCTGAATTATTTTCATTTCCATTTTAGTAAGAAAAAAGCAGCCATTTTACAAACACAGCAGGTTATTTGCCTGCTGTTATCATCAGAAATCTTTAGAAACCCTTTAAAAGAAATGAAGATCACAGAAAAACATATTGGCGAGCAGCTCAGTAACCACATTTTGTGGGTTTTTTCCTATTTCAGTAGTTGTTTGAAGATGATAAGTCTTCAAAAAGTATCATATGATAAACTTTACTAAAACAAAGAATGAAACATATTTTGTTTTCCAAAGCTATTTTCTGTTATAAAATGTTTCATTTTGATTGTCATCCTTTTTCATTTGCTCTGGGAAAGCATATAAATTAGAAGAATAAATAGATAAGAAACCAGTCTCTCTCTATGCCATTCCCAGGAGACACAGGTTCAATCTAATTGAGAAAAGGGGGGAAATTTAAAAGATGATGTAAAATTTTAGACATGATCAGGTTCATCAACCCATCCTCTTTCATAAATGAAAATGCTGACATCCAAGAGGCTGCTGCTGCCACTGAGCAGGATGCTCAACCACTAAACAGATGGTGCAGTTCAGTCCACTGAAGTGGAGGCTCTGCCAGGGCAGAGAGTATTGGCTGTTCGGTGCACTACTGTTTCTCCAGCTCCTAACTAAGAAAGCACCTGGTAGACAGTAAATGCTGAATGAATAAACAAGTGAACTTATAATTCTAAATCTCATGGGACTGACATACCACAAATAAAACTACAAAGCAGGTATATATAATACATTTCAGGGTTTAGAAAATTGTTAACTATTTCAAAGTCATAATACCCGAAATATTAAGAATCTGCAATCATCATCTTTAAACATAAATTACAAATGCTACATACACACAAAAGTTGCGGGGCAGGATTCTGAAACAAAATCTTTAAAGAGTACACAAGTTTGTTTAAAAAAAAAAGTTCTCTATAGATGAAGAAAAAAATTATACTTCAGCAACTATACTTGCTTTATACAGTATGGTATCTAGATATATATATTTCTCTATGTGTATGTGTATATATCTATACATACATACTAGGAAAATTATAGCCTTAGAAAATAAAATAGTGCAAAAGACTTATTACATGTCTTTAGAGAATCAGAATTTAAAAGGACAACGAGAAAAAGTACTCTAAAAACTCTGATTCCATAATATATTAACACAGTAGCTTAAAGTACCTCAAACAAACAACCCAGGTTCTGGAAGTTCCCTAGTACCAAAAACACTCTTATTTGGTTTTAAAACCAAACAGTCTTTGAAGCAAACATCTGCAACAATAATTGTGGTTTTCATGTAGTCAGAAGGCAATCTAAACATTTTAAATTGAATCATTTCAAGTTACAAAACACTACCTCTTTAATCTCATGTAGTTTTCACTGGCAGCAGGTCGGCATTCGGCTCTTTGTACCACTATTCCTTCCAGTGAGAGTTTATCTTGAATGAAAGGGGAAAAAATTGTATTCAGAGATAACATTCATCATTTTCAATGATGTAATATAAAATCAAATATAATTCACAGTAAAAATCAGGGAAACTATAAAGTTTACAGCCATATCACTAGTTAGAATAGAGAAAAACCTTATTCCAGCTAGTAGGAAACTTGACTCATGTCACATTTGTTTCTTGAGCTGCTGTAGCCCCTTGCCAATAACAGCTTTTATAAACTTAGTTCTTTCTAAATAAAGTGACTTAAAAGGGCATAAAATCAAATAAAAACTTTTTGAAGGGCAGGGAGGCTATTATCTTTGGCAAAGAAGTAACTTATGTGAAAACTGCTAGTCTAAACCACTATATCAAAGGTGTGTGTGTGTGTGTGTGTGTGTGTGTGTGTGTGTGTGTACGCCGCGCGCATGAAAATAAAATGAAATTCTAGAATGAGCTGTGTCTAGAAAAGCCAGTCTGCAAGATACTGTAAAAGTGGGCAGGTCACTGTCTAGGTTATATTGTGTACCAATTTAGCCTGCCTGTTGCTCTGACTTCTTTTTCCCAGCAGAATTATAAATTTGAGTGTGGTCAAAAGTGAATCCGTTAGGAATACTTGCCCAAAGAGAAAGGCAATTTCCTATACCACTAGTAATGCTTACAGTGATCCTGACATAGGGGCAGAGCTGGGATTGTAGCTCAGTGGCAGAGTGCTTGCCTCATATGTATGAGGCACTGGGTTCAATTCTCAGCATCATATAAAAAAATAAAAATAAAATAAATAAAGGTATTGTGACTATCTACAACTAAAAAAAATATTTTAAAAAAATCACATGGGGTAACAGGAAAAGGAAACAAGAGCTAGCACCTACAGTGAACCTATTGGGCTCAGCATTTTGATACAGTCACAAGATAGATCTTACCTATTATATAATATGTATATGAATGTCTCACTGACACCAGCTTTACTATAACCTGGAAATGTATGACCATGGTTACAAATAGTTTTGGTTCAATCATATTTCTAAGAGAATTCACCTGGGTTTTAAGAAGAGATTCAGGAAATCCCCTGGCTAATCAGGAATGCATTTATGATTCATCACTTTAGCATGAATGACTTCTTTCATTCCACTAACATTAACTAAATGTTTACCACACAAAGGGAACCATCTAGGCATTGTAAAACCAATGATTAAGATACAGAACTGTCTTCAAGACACATAAAATTCACTGAAGTAGATGGCACTGAACGAAATGCAGAATGCATACAGATTTATACCTGCGTGATTTTTATTAGAAGATCTTTCCTCTAGGGACTGTTCTTGATTTTTGTCTCCAAAATACAAGGGATTCTGTACTACAGCTCCTAAAAACTAATTGCTAGTAATTGTGTGTATTCAATACTTCTAGGGTCTCTCAAGGCAACATATGCAATAAATCTCAAGTGCAGGTCATGAGATGGCTGGAGAAAGCAATGACAAGCAGCAGCATGCCTACCTTATACCAAAACATGCCCGGAAGGAAATAATTAAAAAGCCATCAAATTTTTGTATTAAATTAAAAAAACTAAAAATAATTTCCTCTCATGAGTGAATTTAATAAGATTAAAATTTGAATTTTCTTTTAAAGCAAAAACAAATCTTATATTCAAGTTTGTCTCTTCATTGAAGCTGAAAATTCTATTAAGAAAAAGTCTCAGGCATAAAAATATCATCAAGATTGGGAAAAATTTTAATGTAAAAGTGTATAAAATTTATGAGAAAAAATCTAATATTGGGACATAAATTAATATTTTAAAATACCATTGCTGAAAGTAATTTAATCACAAATCCAAGTATTTACTAATGTTGAATACTGAAAGAGCTATCTCTTAATACCACTTGTAAATGTTCCCCACTTATTCAGCAGTATCTACTCCAGGTGGACAGGCTGAATTTAATTTTTAGTTCAAGTTTTCTATAGCCAACCTTCTCTGTATGACACCTGAAAGGTAGAAAGCAGGTTCAAAGCACCTGCCCATTTCAACTTGATTACTACTCTCCTCACTATTCTTTAGTCAGACCTTTACAGGTCACTCCTGTAAAGCAATAAAATTCATCGCCTCAAACCATAATTTTCTGTCCATCATGTCTTCTTTTCAAATCTTAGCTAGCTTCCAACTGCTACTCAAGTAAAGAGGAAAGCCTTAATCATCAGCCATGAATTTTCTGACCAACTGGCTGTTCTTAAATAACCCCACATTTGTTTGCTTCCCTTGCCCCTTCTCTCCTTAAATAAACTTAAAAGGCCCATTTACTTATGATATAGCCCCTAAGTGTGATTTGCCTGCTCTTTTTAAAAGCCAACACATACTTTCTAAAACCTACAGGAACAGATTCTCATATTTTTTTCACTAAACCATGCTATGCTTCTGATTCAAAACATTGCTTAAGTTTCAAGGGAAACTTTTATTTTAAAAGCTTCCACTTGCATACCACTGCTGTTAATTATATATCCCATTCATTAATACAGGAACCTTACTTAAAACTACTTTGTTGGACCAATTTGAAAGACCAAAAATATTTGAAAAATAATCCAGTTTATTCTCACACATTTATGAACTATTTCCCAAGTGCCTATTATGTAAAAGATCATTCAAAGCACATCAGAAGAAACAAAGATAAGCAAAACATGGCATTTGCCCTCAAGGAGTGCATAGCTGAGTGTGGCCATTCTTAAACATGTATTCTCTGTAGCATATATCTTAAATAAACATAGCTTTATTTACCATTTCATGGCATATACACATATCAAAACATCCTGTTGACTATAAATGCATACAAGTTTTATTTGTCAATTACAAAAAAACCCCACATACATAAATGAATAGATTTACATTTTTTAAAGTATAGAAATCCTAAAATAATTTTCACTTTTGTAAGTTTTAACTACCAATAGTTGGTAGTTTAAACTACCAATATCACATTGGCAAATAAGAAATTTTTGGAGAATGAGAGTGAAAAAAGCAAAAAGGTTTAGTGGTATTATTAAAATAGTTTTGATCTCATAGACCCCTTGAAAGGATCACAGGAACCCCTCTATCTAGCAGTTCCCAGACACACTGTGAGTGCTATAGGTCTAAGTAGATCACGAGACAGGTATATTTAATACAACAGAAACACTTTTGATACATCTCCATTTAATCAACTTCCAGATTAGTAAAGACTCTCAATTCCCCACCATTAAATACAGTGGCAGATGCCCACAACTCACTATACACTAGTGGGTAGCAGGTTCATCTCTAGTACTCCCACACACTTCTGCTCAAACTCTGCTAAAACTTGTTGCTGCTAGTTTTATAATTACACAATCTGATTATGTATTACATAAACTCAAATAATGGGTCTAAAAAGGGGAAGATGTTTCTATGAAAACTAGACTGAATGCATTGGTAAGAGCTGATATAAAGGTAAGTTGTTAAAAAAATACTGTTAAATTAGGTAAGGGTGAGACAACTGCAGACTGGAAGACAAGCACATAAATCTAGCAGGATTTGTGCATCAAATACACACACACATACATAAAATACATACTTGTTTCCCAGGGTCTAAATCCTTAATCCTTTTTTGAAAGAAACTCAAACGGAAAATCTAGCCAAATTATGGGTTTGATATCCAGAAGAAAGAAAGCAGGTGGTCAATAAGCATCCTATGTTCAAGACAAATGCCTTATCTTACCTGTGCATAGCAGCTAAATGTACATTTATAAGTTTTAAGATAAACTATTTGAAGCAGGTAGAAAAACATACTGATATCTTTTGTATATGTGTGTGGGGGGGGTGGGGGTAAGCGGGGAATGAATCCAAGGCCTCACACATACAGAAAAAATGCTCTATCACTAAGCTAAATCCTCAGTCTTTTTGAAATTTTATTTTAGACAGAATGCTATGTTGCCAAGGCTGGACTCAGGCTTGTGATCCTCCTGCCTCGCCTCAGCCTTCTGAGTAGCTGGGATTATAGGTGTGCACCACTGCATCTGGCTTGATAAAATTTTTAAATGATTTCTTACCTGTTAATTTAACTGACCAACTTCTAGTCCTTCCATATGACCTACAGGATTCTACTGTACAAAGGAGAATACAAGTTGAGATTCCAAGTGTTATAAAACCAAGACATGTAGAGGGCCCTGGGATTAAATACACGCATAAAGACATTCTGTCTAGTTGGGGATCAAGAAGAGCTTTGATGGAGAAAGCTAAGTTTGTGTTGGACCTTAAAAACCTGGCAGGATTTAGATAAAGTGGTAGTGGTGGGGCTGAGAAGGAAGAGCACAGAAGGGGGTGGGAACAGCCTTAGCAATGGCCATACTTGGAATTTTCAACTAAGAGACTCATACTACAAGCCACTGGAAGGACATGGTCTTGCTAGCAATCTGAAGAGAAGCCACACAAGCTCATCCTACCGAAGACCTTGGAAATGCTGTTTTTATCTTTCTTTTCCTAGGCATGGCTGATCATTTAACTCTTCTTTGGATTAGGGAAAAATTCTAGGATCCTTTCAAAATTCTTCTCCCACCCTAACTGCTTTTTGGGCCAGATTGGTTTGCTAATTGGTTTCTGCTACTTACAGCCAAGAGAATGCTAATAAGTATAAACGGGCAATGGTGTTTTATTTATATATATCCTGCCACCTAGTTTCAGAGAAAAGCGTGAGAGAAAAATTTAAAGGGTAAGTACACAAATACATCCTATAAAAAGAACTAGTAAGTTTCTAGTTAGGATTCTGTCACTAAATAGCAGTGTTACTTTGGAGAAGTTACTTCACATCTCTGAGTCTCACCATCTATATAATGAAGTTACTGAAATTTCTGACATCTCTTCTAGTGCCTGTGAATGATAAATAAAAACCCTGGCCCCCCCTTTAATTGGGAATGTTTTATTATTTTATCAATGTTTAGTTTGCTTGTTCTAATATTTTCTAAAAGACCTAGGTTTAAGTAAAATTTCCTTGGGTAAAAATTAGAGAAAACTGTTT